TTCTGTATACTTATTATGTACGTTTTTGCGTAATTAATATATTTAGGGGGTCCGATACTTTTGTCCAGGTACTGTATATCCTCTTTAATTTTTGTAGGAATCACTTTCTTTATTAAAAAAGGTGTAATTGTTCTTTGATTATTTGTTGAACTACAAACATGTCGTATTAAATTATAAGTATTCCTTTTAATTATATTTATATAAATGTTGACAATTCTTAACCAAACATCACTTTTTCCACCAATTTTATCTTTCTTTACATAATAATTCTCCAGCCAGTGGTTTTGATGATATTTGGTTAGTGTATAATGTGTTGTTTATTTAAATTATTGATTCGAAAAAGCGTGTGTGTATATATATATTTTTATTTTATAACAAACCTTTTTTTTGCCAAGCAATTATTAGAAATTTTTAAATTACAACCCGAACCCGACCAGCAGCTATTTGACGTCCAATGCAGGCCTCTCGTATGTTTATAGCATTTATAATTCCTTATTTATGATTTATAAACTTTCTTTTTAGCCAAATGGTATTTCAAAAATTTATCCAATCGGTGATATTTCTGAATATGAAAAGACTCTTCTCAATGCTGCAATTCCTGAATTAAGAGCAAATATTAATAAAGGTGTTTCATTCATACAAGAACAACAATAATAAACAAGAATTTATATTTATTTATTATAAACAATTTGTAACTTTTTTTTTGAAGGAATAAAAATTAAAAATTTTCTTCTATTCAAATTGAATAGAAACTTGTTGCTATCTTTGCCAAAAATTTTCTTAATATCAATAATGTTGTCACCATATTGAGTCATAGCAACACTGATCAAGCTTATCTGTAGTCTTGTATCCAATTCCAATTCGTCTCAATTCTAGATTCCACTTCTTCATCTAGCTCTAGTTCAGGAAGAATTTAACCATTATCTATGGCAGTCTTAGGGAAGTCATTATACAGTTAATTTCCACTAGTTGAGTGAGTTTTTCCTCAAGACTTTGCAAAACATTACAAAGGACATTGTGAAGATAATTCCCAGACTTGTATTCTTCCTGGAAAATATCTATTAATAAGAAAGTTTGATCATCAGCACAAAGGATCCTCAAAAAAAAATTTTTTCTTCATTTAATAATATATAGTGCTCATTATCTCCTGGAATATGAAAATAACTTTACTATGGTTGCCTAAATATAAATATATATATTCATCAATACAGAGATTTTTTATCAATTCAATTGTTTTTGTTTTATTATATATTTGTGATATTTATATTTAACATCAATGTAAATATTAATTAACATTGGCAAAGTTTAATAATAACAACAACAATAATAGCTATATCTAAAAATATTCTCATAACTCTATGCTTATTTTTGTATTGCTGTCAAAGATATCTCCTTAATATCCAAAATATTTTGTAAGTAATTAAAAAAATTCCATTGTTACCAATTATAATGTTTTCAATTCCAAATAATACTTTTTAAAAAAATAACTATTAACTAATCACAATCATTGCTATGACCACCCACTGACTGCTATTACCACCACCAACTAACTACTACTACCATCATCGCCATTAACAATGACAATGATGGTTTGTTAAGTAAATACAAGGAGATCAAAGTCTAGATATAGTCTCCAGGCACACAATCACATTCAAATGTTTCCTGAAGTAAGAATTTTGCAATAGCCTATATTTATGTGGAGGAAAAATCGAACCTAGACTCTCTTTCACTGCGAATTCACCTCGATCCATTGAATAAATGATCAATATTTTGTAGTTTACAAACAAATAAAGGCCCGTAAAAATACCGATAAGGTGTTGGTATTGTTATAAGCGATCACCATAGTTGTTGAAGTTGTACGTTACTCGTTGTGATGTGTAATGGTGCTGTCACTGAATTGTCAATAGTTTGAATTTATTGAGTCATGTCATACGCATTACTATTGATAAAATTAAATGCGAACTTAATAATTCGATAGATGAAATGTAAGACAAGCAAGTGAAGTAGAAATGATTGGATGATCTAAGATTAGATGAGAGAAGAGAAAAAGCAAACGATGGTTAGAGTATGCTCATTCAGGCCAATAGACTCGCTAATGATTGAATTTCATAATTACATATATTGAACACAAGGCTTCTTCATGAAATAGGATTGATATTGCCGTTAAGGTTATCGTTGATGTCAATGTTGAGGTCTTGATTTAATTTAAGTCGTGATTATCACATGACTTTAATTTATTTGTTCGTACAACCTAAAACTCTATAAGTTTGCCATTTGATGTTTTGTAAATTTCAAACTTCTATTTCATATTCTGCATCCTTATCAAACTTGATCAAACACTTTCCAATGGCAGTACTGTGCATGAATTAATACCTGGATGGATATGGATAATATCATTTTGAACCCTGAATATTACTCTTTGCAATGATATTAATACATATTCCTGTGATTTCTCCTTGCAAAGTTAGAACATTTCGTAAATGAAATTTGTTCGCATGAATGTTTAAGAGAAAGCTCATTATCTTCTTATCGGTTATTCAATTAGAAGAATCGTTTACAAAATTTTGTGTGCAGAATTGATGGCGGGAAGCAAAAATTCATACGAAGTTGTTTCCTGTTGATAAATGAACTGTTCTCAAGTCTCAAATATTGGATTATTATTTATTTGAACAATCAAAAAAAAACCTTTATGCCCAAACCTAACAAGAAATAAAAGTGCAAAGAAAAAAATATAGACGAAAAAAAAAATCAAAATCAAGAATAAAGTCGCTTGCAACTCGGTGATACTTGAAAATAATATTGTGCGTGTTATATTGCTTCGCCATATTATGGCTCAAACATAAGGTTGTTTGCTGCTAATGTAGCTGATAGAGACTGGATTAATTTTATATTTTTTTCTTGAGCTAATTATTTGCATATTTTGAGACTAAAGCTTTGACTTCCTTGATTTATTTAGTAGATCGTCATAGGGGTAAAGAAAATGTCGTCTCTTTTCTTGCCTTTCACTTTGCTTCTTTCAATCGATTCTTTCCCTAATTGTTTTGTCTCTTTCATTTTTAACGAGCGTTATTTCCTGGATTAGTTTATCCTTTTCAGCCTTCAAAGTCTCCTAATCTTTTGGATAACTCAAACCAACCTGTTCCCGCAAATTATTCACCTCTTTCACTATTTCTTTAACTTCTTGTTCCGAAACATTTTTGCCATTTCCTGCATAGCCAACTAACCCACCAAGTAAACTATTCAACAATCCCTGTAAATAATTCTTGCTTTCCTTTTGGCTGGCAATTTCCTTGTGAAATTTTGCCACTTCTTGTTGTTTATTTTCTAATTGAGTTGCTAAATCAGTAAAGTGGCATTATTAGCTTTTAGTTCTTCTATTCGCTTTTGAAAATTAGGCTGAACTTCGGTTAATTTCTTTTTTCTCCTTTGGCTGATGAAAAATTATTCATTTCAATAAATGATTAATCTTGCACATATATTTTTTTAACATTATCTCTGCATAAACAATCATTCTCTTTTGGAATGGGAAAAGGAAGTCACTGAATTGAAAAAGAATGTTATAAATTTAGAAAAACATACAGGCAAAGATCTCACAACGTAAACATTGTGTATCTTCACATTATGAATTGGCTTGTCAATCAATTCCTTCAGTTTTTTTATAGCAAATATAAAATCATTATTATAGTTTTGGTATTGCTGCCATCAAAAATATTACATGTATTATTCAGGTAGTGTTTCTTTATTATAAAAATGATAGTTATCATCCTTTTTAGAACCTCATGATGGTGAAATTGATTCAACATCCTATATTTTATGTCAAGTTTTTTACCACTTCAATCTCTTCTGACGTATTCACCATGTGTTATTCACCATCACCATCTTCTTCATATTATTTGCGTTTTGGTAGTTTATGCATTTCATGATAAGCCACATGATTTATTAACGTTAAGTGGTTTAGCTTTCAATTTTTTTAATCGATAGTAAAAATTAATATTAATGTATCCCAAATACTGTACATCATCTTACTAAATTACGTCTCAATAAGAGATTCAGTTACACAAAACAATAAAAAATCGTGTTATCAATTTCGAGATAAAAAAACCATTTGGTCAGAAAAAATTATTTTTAAATACAAAATAATTGTTCATATATATGACAGATAAATAATAATGCCATTTCCTGACTTGAGAAGAATTTTTTCATCATTTAGAACACCAGAAGAAGAACAACAAATATCTCGTTCAGCTTTTTTTAAATTTATAGGATTCGTAGTATCTTGTATGGTTATTACAGTGTTGGCTCACAGAAAGAAAACTATAAAAAATTAATAATTATTAGGTAAATTCATTTACACTTATAATTTTTTATTTGATTAATTAATTAAATATGTAATTGGCGTTGTTTTTCCTTTTCTTTTTCTTTTTCTTCTGATTTTTTTAATTTACATTCTAATGCTTCTAATAATCTTGTACATTTTGATGATAAAATTTGTAGTGCATCAGTAAAGATCTTTTCTGATTCTAAAATTCCTGTTGATTCGACTGTAACTATATAAAAAGCACCCGTATATATGTTTAAAATGGGTAAGTAAATAATCAAAGAAAACATATTTTTAAATTCAAGAAATTTCATACATATAAAATGATCTCGTATTCTCGTTAATTGAACAATATCCTCAAATTCTTTATGTCTTAAAACCTCACGGCTTACTGTATCAATTCTTGGATTTACAACTTTAGCATACTTTACATTTTTTTTTTCAACTTTAAAAAAATGACAAAATTAATTTAGAGTTACCCAAAACAATTTTTTCAAAAAAAAAATTTTTCTTAAATACCTATTTTATTTTCAACTTTGACTACTCCTTTAGTAAAACATGCTGCAAATTTATCAGCCAAATCTCCAGTTATTTCTTTTTTCATAATTATTTCTGGCATCAACCGATAGGTTGCTGTTGCTATTATATATATATGTATTTGGTCAAAAATTTTTAAAATCATATTGTTATAACTAGTTATATATATTTACCTACCTACAGGTGACCATTTTGCATGTTCTTTACCAATTCCTTTTTCACAATGTGCTTCGAGTTCAATTCTCTAGAAATTAAATAATTATCAATTATAATAATAATAATAATAATAATAGTTATTATTGTATGGTTTTTTTAATGAACCAATTTCTTAATTTATTCCATTTTTACCTGATTGGGCCTCAATTGTGCTATTAGAATATCATCATGTACAGGTCTTAATGGATTATTTGCAAATATTGTAGCCTGCTCACCTCTTGGATTCCATATTAAAGAATTTGACAATACTAAATTTCAATATAATGAAAAAAAGAAACTATCAATCAGTAACTAGTAAATCTGCTGATTCAAAAATCACATGCATAACCTACAATTTGACCCGGTATACAATTTTTTGGGGTCAGTTTCATCTTTTGATGCTTGAGCGTTAAAGGTACATTCATGTTTAATCTTGAATACTACAGTATTTAAATCTGTTGGATCATCTGATGCTAATAATAGGAAAAGAAGAAAATCAATATAAAATATACCACAGGTAAAAAATATTCAATAATAATGATGACTACCAATTTTATAATTAAACACGTCGGGATTTGCTTTAATTGGTATTAAACCTAATCTA